TAGTATACCCTAAACAGCTGGAAGGTAGGAGTATCTTACCAGGGAGTTTTGTTTTTATCATTATGGCCAGTGCATGCACCTCGAGTAGCACTATACATAGAATCCTCAGTAACCCCTACAAAGAGAGGGGTAAAAGTATGGTATAGTAGACCTGGACAGGATGCCTCTCCTACCACAGTCCTATCACAGGACTCTTGCATGCATTTACCTGGTGGGCAAAATTTGCCTATGTTGTTGTCATTAAAACATGTGTACCCTAACAAAAAACTGCTACTCCCTGGGGTGCATGGAGTTCCCTATCAGTACTGCTTCTGGCCTCCTGTGGAAAGTGCTAATCATGAACTGGGACAGTTTTGAATTGAGCTGGGATAACCTCCTCAGGCTTGAGAATTATTATAATTTTTGTTACCTATATCAAAATTTTTATTGTATCATAATTTTGGTTATTATCTGTATGTCGTTTTTGTCCTCTGTCACTATTGTGGAATCTATTACTATGCTCCAGTTTTCTGACACAGGGACCATCATGGAAGATTGAGGGCATGTAGATTGTGAGGCAAGAATCCTGGAGGTGTGGAGTATGGGGAAAAATGGAAGTTCCTATGGGCAGGATCCTCACCTGACCCTAAACTACTTGATGATGTAATTGGCCTACTGCTAGGCTAGTACTTCCTACCCATTGGCAATAAGCTATTATTGACTGAGTCACCATATAAACACCTCTGCCCAGTGCTCTGGACAAAGGCAGAGACGGAGGAGACACTGCTGGATACATGTGATTCTAGTGCTCAACCTAATGCTGAGTGAATAAAGGCAGGTATAAACCCTTTTACCCCAAGAATGTTCCATTGTCATTTCTCGGCTTCACTAAATCCATAATAAACTTGCCAGGGGGCTGAAACCTTCAGGCAAAACATTCATTAACAAAAATGTATTGAACACCTACTATGTGTCAGACATACACATACTACTGTGTGCCAAGATACAGCAATAATAACACAAGCACATTAACCATACCTGACACTCATCTAGTGCTTGTTTACTGTGCACCAGGCCCTGTTCTCAGTACACACATTAGCTCACTTAATGCACTAGTCTCCTGAGATAAGTATAATTATATGCCCACTTTGTAGATGAACAATTGAACAACAGAGAGATTAATTCTCCGGGTCATACAGTTAGTGAGTGCTGGAGCCAGGGTTCAAACCCACATCCTTTTACTCCAGTGTCTGTGATCTTGGTCACTACGTTATACGAAGAAAAACAGACATGGCTTTATGGAACTTTCAGTGTACTGGAGAAGACGGATATTAAGCAAATAAACATACAAACAGATTTGTAATCTCCAAAGCTGATAAAATACATAGAAAAGAACAAAGTGCCTTGAGATAAGATGATATAACATTGCAAAGGGACTTCTTGCTGGCCAAGAAACAGTGATTACCTCTGATAACTCTCATCTCACCTAAATTTAAGTTATAAAATTTAAGAAAGCAATTTGGCCAAAAGGAGCCAGGGAAAACTAAGGTTGGGAAAGTGACTAAGTAATTCAGTCCTTAAATTAACCCTTGCCATAGAGCAGGATCATCTTGATGGCCCTTCTTTTTTTGTTGGTATGCTCAGAATGACAAGAGATAAAGAATCTGGTGAATGCAACCCCGTTCTCCTATCTTTATCCCTCCTGAATAAGGCTCAGACACCCCTTTCTCACAGATAAAAGCAATTACCTCCTCATCTGTGCCTTTGACCAAGACCATGGTGGATGTCAAAAAAAATCCTTAAATTCTATCCTAATGCTTTTGCTTATTAAAAAAAAAGAAAAGATAATGGTTAGCACTTGGGCTTCTGGAAGCAATTTAAGACATGGCTTATAGTCAGTAAAACAAACAAAATAACACCTTTTTGAGACTTTGCTATTAATAGACTTGGAAACAGAATGAAATACTGATTTAAAGAAAAAGAACGTGGAAGCAGAGAATCAAGTTCCCAGAGCAACAAATTTCCCTTTCCATTCTGATTAAAAAAAAAAATCTGGATTGATTTCTCTGCTTGACCAATTGCAAATCTATCTCTTTCTCTTAAGTATTAACAGAAATCATGCAGAAATAAGAAAAGTCTCTTTTTTCTTCTCAAGCAATTGTCTCTGTAGATTTGGGAAATTTTGCATCTTTGTTATTATCTATCTTATGTATTATTTTTATGTCTTCAATCTTTATATTAGGCATGGTCCTTAAGTATAGAATTACATCCAGAAGTAGTGTGACATATTAGCTCCTAATTGTGTAGTTTCACTCTACTGAGGCTAATAATGATTTAGAGGGGAGAGCGATAAAGAGACAGCAAGGTGTTCCTTATAGCACCACTAATTATATGCACTTCGCACATCTATATAGAAGAGCAACATCGTTTTCGGGTCCAATAAGTTAAATCCTTTTTCTAGTTCATTGTTCAGAATCATAAATTTTGTACTGCCACAAGAAAGTCTCCTACTTCATCATCTTATGGCATTATTTCATATGGGATTTCATATTCTACCTGGCTCTGCTTTCCAATGTTATTAGGTGAAAATGTTTGAATAATAAAATACACAAATTAATCATTTCACTTCCAGTGAGGTTTAAACAGTCTAATAAGCAAATGGCACATTAAGACTCATCTTTCATAGTTAGCAAATTTACACTTGAGATTAGCTGAAGTACAGTTAAATTATGAAAAAGGCTTAATTTGAAAAGGAATACCAAACTTTAAAACTTACAAAGCATTATGTTAGATTTCTTGTTAGTATCATGAGTCTTTAAAAAACAATGCAGAAAAACCACACACTGAAGTGTGATATTCTTCAGAAATACCTTATATATCCCATTCCTTAAAACTGCATGAATATAACTTTCTCTTAAATGCCATCATCATAGTTCATTTCTCATTAATATATGTCATTAATTAATAAAATTATGCCCTTCTGTGGTTTATCTGGAGATAAAATACCAAATAATTGCAAATAAAGGTTTCAAAAAATACACCTGGAACTTAAGGATCTACACTTACCTAAAAATGAAGTAAAAAAATCTTTATTAGTACAAAGGCTATCACCACATTTTACACTGACATAGGGGAAACAGGAAAGTATATATGTGTCAAGTTTCTGAAACCACACATTATACTTCACTACTCCAGAAAATTATTTTTGTGTGCTCTATTCCAGAAAGAGGAAAAAACATTGTAATAGTTGCAATTTGTAGTAACTTCAGAACTGGTAGTTTTGTCCCAAAGATGGTTTTTTTCTTTAAAAAAAACAAACTACAGAATCTCATTTAACAAATATCTAGAAAAATGTTGAGAAATCTCCTGCATATTGCTTTTAGACCTTTAAAAAACAATCTAATTTGAATCACCTGTCTAAATAGGTCAATTTAACTTAGGAAAAATTAAAATTAGCTGTGCAGGGTCAGTTCTTTTTCTAAAACATCTGCATCCTCAATGTCCTACTGTCTTCCTAGTCACACCAAAACCAAGTGTCAAGAATGACTATAATGCATCAATTTATTCCAAATCTCAAAGTTTGTCTGCTCTTGAAATGGACATAAAAGTTAGCATTACATTTAAAAACAGAGTGTGTGGTGGGTGCTTCAAGAAGTTGGGGGCGGCAGGACTGAAGAAAAAGCAAAAAACTGACATTTTAGGAGGATGATGACATGTGGGGGTGGGTCTGTGCTGGTGCGCCTTTCTTACCCTCCATGTGGACACCTTTACAGTATGTGGCAAATCAAAATCAGCTGAGACACACTCAATACAAAGCAAATACTTCCATACAAGTTCAGTCTTCCACAAGCTTCTCTCATATCAATCTAGCAATATAAGCTCATGTACCTTAATGTGCATTGCCAGGATGTTTAAGGAATTAATCATCCTACAACACTTAATCATCCCTAGTGGCCTCAGGGATCAAATCCCAGGCTTAGGAAACACAAAATCTTGAAGGTAACATCTCTAAAGAATGAGAATAAAACAAAACAAAACACAAATCAGAAAATTTGGCCGAGACATTCCATATTCCTCCACAACCAGATCATCCATAAAACTCACAAGGACCCCAACAATGTTGGAAGAGGGTTTGCCTTTAGAGGGCAGGGCACTCAAGTGGCTAGCAGAGAGGGCACTGACCTCATTGGAGGTGGAGGAAGGAGTCTCATCCCCATCTTTTCTGGGTTAAGTAACTCTCAAAAAAGTACTTTCATATTCTCCAGCTACCAACAATCTCAACCAGGCAAAGAGTGATCATAGATGCTAATGAAACAGGTTTTCCTCTCTGCCTATCTCCCTAAAGCCACTTGCCAAAAATGAGATTTTGAGAGATCTTGATCCCCTCGAGAGCTCCCTGTTTAAAGAAGGAATGGAAGGACCTTTGCTCTAACAAGGAAGTAAACTGAAGCCTTGACATTGGGGAATTGCTAAGGAACATTCTAAACCACATTTTTCTTAAAAGGTTGAAACCCAAAACAGAATTAGGATTTATTCACTTTCAGTTGGGTGATAAAATTATTACAACTGCCCGGGACAAAAAGAAACAATTTCACTCCAGCCCTCTCCGCCAACCACCCTCACGCAGCAATGGCACAAACAGTCCCCGAGAGAGCCAGGCAGGCTGACTTCTCCTTCCACAACAGCCTCTCCAAATCCGCTCTTCACCACACGAGTCAGTCCGCAGGCCCTCCGCACGCGCCCCAAGGGGCCCGGCTTCCCCGCCTCCTTAGTTAGGAGCGAACTCGGCCCAGCAGCCGCCCTGCCTGCGGCGCACCCCTTTGGAGGGCGTCCCCGCGCCTGGGAGATTCTCGAAAGCCCGGAGCTGGGGAACCCCGGAGCTCCCGGCCTCCCAAGGCTCCCGCCCCCACGCCCCGAGCCCGAGCCAATTAAGTTGCGGGCGCCCGGCGGCACGCACAGTCCCCGTCCTCCCGCTCGCGCCCCGAGGTCCCCCGCCTCCGCGGAGGTGAGCGCGCACTCACCGGAGGTGAGCTGCATCCAGGCACAGATCTTGTACACGGTAGCCGTGTTGCAGAAGAAGAAGAGGGTAAAGCAAATGATGCAGGCGATGATGAGCATCATGGAGAGGCCGATGAAGAAGGAGGCGGCTTTGAAGGCGCCCGAGGGCAGCGTGGAGAAGTCCGTGAAGCTGCCCCTGCAGGTCAGCTCCCGGGAGAAGCCGTTGCCGATGCAGTAGTGGAAGAGCCCGAAATAGCCGGCTTGCGGGGTGTCCACGCCGTCGCCGATCCAGTAGGGCTGGATGAAGCACACCACGTTGACGATGGCAAAGCAGATGGTGAAGATGGCCCACAGCACGCCGATGGCCCGCGAGTTCCGCACATAGTTGGTGTGGTACAGCTTGGCAGCCTCCTGAGCCGGGAGCATCGCGGCGGCGGCGGCAGCAGCGACGGCGGCTCCGGGCATTCTCCCCCTCCTCCGCCTCCTCCTCGGCCTCCGCCTCCCCCGCCCCTCCGCGCTCAGGAGACACACTCACCGAGCCGCGCGCGCTGCAACTCCCCTGCCTCCGCCTCAGCCCAGCAGCGCCGGTTTCAGAGTCTGCATCCTGGCCCCCGGAAGGAGGGCGGGGGAGCGCCGAGCACCCCTCCGACTCGCCTGGCACTGCCTCCCGGCCCCCCTCCCTGCTGGCCCGGGCTCCAGCCCTCCTCACCGCCCTCCACCCTTCTTCCCGCCGCTGCAGCTGCTGCAGCTGAGGGCGGCAAATCCCGCGCGGGGCAGCGAGGCGCGCGAGCGCGGGCGCCCCCCACTCCGCTTCCCGCCATCCGCCTGCTCCCCACCCCCAGTCCAAACCGCGCCGCCGGGCGGCCCGGGGACGCCCCTTAAGCTGCGGCGTGGGCCGGAGAAGCCGGCCTGGAGTTGGGGAGGGAGAATGTAATCGGGGCGTGGGGCGGGGAGCACCCTCAGGGATCCCCGAGGCGATCCGAGGACCCTGTTGGTGTAGGGGCCTTGCTGGAGGCTGATTCGGGGAGGCTTGCTGCACCGCACAGAAACGTGCTTCGACCTCTCCGTCTTTGTAGAGGCGCGAGAAGCAGTGCGGCCGGTGCAGGTGGGAGCCACCAAGGGAGAGGAGAGGACTGTCTCCAGGAGACTTCCCTGTTAACCACAGAACTGGCCCTGGCCAACTCGTGGGTTGCCAGGTGTTCCACGAGGTGCAGACAGGAGAAGCTGGGCAGGAGCCTGGAAGACAATAATGTAGAAGACGCCCACGGCGGGGTTCTCAGGCGGGGGAAGCAAACAACTGAGCTTGTCTCCATTTGGCGTTTCCCCCCTCTGTACAGCTAGATTAACTGTAGCCAATCGAGGCCCTATACTTTCCTGTATGTCAGGTCATTTTTTTCCCACAAATCCTGACATAAATGGGGCTTGTGGGGCACTGAAAGTGACTGTCACAGAAATGTATAGTTTGTCTAAAAACGTTGGGTGGTTTGGCCAGGATTATGTTTCTTACACACACACTCACTGGCAGCTACTCTCTGGGCAGGCACCATGCTGGGTGCTAAGGCGGACAGCAGAGTTCCTTGTCCTGTTACAGGTACCTCCCCCTCCCACCCCCACAACCCACAGCTCCAGCTAACCAGCAAGTTGTTTTCAGAGTATACAGAATATAATTTCCCCTGGAGTATCCATGTATCCTTGCATTTTCATGTGGCACGGCTGTCCTACAGCTGTGTGAGCACTATTCCTTAGCTTACTGCTTTCCCTTTCCAGTCTTTCTATGGCTCCTTTAACAGTCCCTGTCTTTCCAACTTCATGTCTTTACTTTTCTAGTTCCCTCTGATTCTGATATAAGGAAGCATCTAACCCCCACTGAAAGCATCGAAACCAGAATGCCCAGTAGCAGCAAAGGATTTTGATAACAGACCATTTTGAACCATAGGACCACTGAATTCTCTGAGCAGAAAGGAGAGAATTCTGTTAGAATGTGACCCCTAAGTCTACACTTAATTGCACACTTTATTATAATGTAAAAAATATATAGTGAGCTCTTTGCCAGTATGCTCAAACTGCCCACCTTCTTACTAGAGCAGTGAGAGACATGGGATACCAGGTGCAGTACTACCGGGGGTGGGTAAGAAAGTTTTAGAGTGGTTCTGTTTGTTTGTTTAATTTTGGTGGGGGGGGTGAGAGAAACTTTCAAAAGGTATCTGGCTACATAATGCTCTTGACTGCAAGAGGGGTGATACCCCAAGTGATGAAGACTAACCATGCCCCTCATCTGACAGTCTCAAGATTTGAGATTGTACAGGAAAGAGGGTAGAAATAGGTATGTGAAACACAAGATAATGAAGTTCCTGAAACTGGGAAAGAATTTAAAAGGGTGAGTGTTGGAATATTCAGCTTCTCTTATTGACATGAAATTCAGGTACAATTCAAGGTCCACTAGGCAGGTCTTTGGAAATCAAGAGGACAGAATTAAACAGTAGCATGAGACATGGAAGTTTAGGTGACTCAGAATTTTTTGCAAGTATGGTTTGTAGACTCTCAGGTCTTTAAAAGTCAGAGGGATTTGGGGGAGGTGAGGAGGTGACCTAAATATGAGCCAGCCTGATATAACACTTGCAAGCCTCTAAAAATATAACTCATGATGATGCATCATCAGTGTATTGGTGGCAATGGAGGGTCAGAACTTCTGGTAGGCTCTATTTGTTTAACTCCCCTGAAGTTGCTGGAAAATTACAGAAGTTTTCATATGGAAGGAGGAAGACGAAAGGTGAGGATAATCGGATTTATGGGGCCATCTGGCAGGCCATGTGTCCCAAGGGCAGAGAGAGCTTTACAGCATGAACTGACAGTAATTTCAAGCGACTCTCCCAAGCCCTCAAATACCCCCAAATCTGCTTGTATCAAGTGGTCTTTAAAATCAATGCCTGAAAGAGATCTTACTGTTCCCATGGCAGAGCTGAGATGAAATGCTGCTGAGAGGGAAAAGCCTGGGAATCAAAAAGCCTGGCTTAGATCTCAGTGCTTAAATTGTTTTTACAGGACAAAGAAAAGACTGGCAAGTGACTCAGATTCAAACGTGATTCAAAGAGCTTTTATTTGAGTCACGCCCATGGAGAGCCTTATTCTGATCCGAGGTTTGGAATTAAAGGCACACTCAAGGTGTCCCACTCTTGTCAACAGCAAGTAGGAACAGACCAGTGTTGGTATATGTTCCCAGAGTCCCCTGAGAATGTGAGTTGTTTCTTGAGGTAAGGGGTCAGTCAGGATGAACTGAACTCTGCCAGTGACCCTTCTCATCGCCTTTATCCTGCCCTGCACCACAGCACTACATTTCCAGAATGAGTAGGGTCTCCCAAGACTCTTGGAACTACCGATGAACTAGAATACCTGTGAACTTTTCAGTTGCCATCAGGGAATGCAGATTGTCCTATTTCTTCTAAATCCTCTGTTGCCCATTCTCAACCTTGCCCTTGGCATCCAGACACCCCAGAGGTAAGAGTCCCTACCTTTAGTCTAAAGCTTTTGTCTGACACCATGCACTCTTTAGGAGTTCAGACAGCTAAGCATCTGGGCAATTCATCACGTTAATCAAATATGGTGTGACCAGGAAAGCTGTTTGGAGGAGGAGGAAATAATAAAACTAGCCTGAATCATGCTAAGAAGTTACTATTGATAGAAAAGTATTTTGAAACTATAACATGATTCATATGTGCTAAATAACTAGTGGAAGTCAGTGTCATTGACAGTATCAAAATAGACACACTGAACACTCAAATCTCAAACTTAACTGTTAAAAATGTTTTCCTCTAACTGCCACAAAGGGTCAGTAGTGAGATGCACTCTTTTCCCAAACTGTCTTAATGTTGGGACTATAAAAGAGAAAACAACAGAATAGTTTGGCTGTAACACTGCTCAAAAGATTGTGAGTGAATTAAAGGACTAAAAGTGTTGATCACAAACTAATCTGTGATGACTTCGGAGAGTGTGAAAGACTTGGAAGGCAAGAGACTTGTAATCCAGACCCGACACGGTTGCTGCCTAACCGTGAGAGCCTAAGGCTCCTGAATCTGTTTTCTCATCTCTAGAATTATGGAGAGGGATAGGGGACATCAGATTAATTCTAAGGTCCCTCTCTGCAGTAAAGTTCTAGTCTGTTCTACAAAGACTATTCCAGGATGACTTTGCAAAAAAAAAAGTAAAACCCAGTACTTGGGGGGAGAAAAATGAGGCAAGATTTAACAAGAAGTATAAGACTCTGGTGGTGTAGACATTTTATTTAAAATTGAAAATCCCTTCTGAAATCCAGTTGTTACAATTTTTCAGGTAATGGGTACTCAGCACTTTCAGGTAAGTCATTGCTGTGATCTTGGAAAATGGAGAAAGAGACAATTTCTAAAATCTGTTACCTTGGCTATTACCAATATCAGTATCAGATCCCACTCCAGAAGATAAAGATTCTAATACTGAAACCTTTTTTCATTCACTAACGGTTACCCTCTGCTCCCCCCTCTCCCCACACCGCCCCCACTTGGCTTGCTTTTAGGGCTTTTCAGAAATCAAGAAACACTTCTTGGTTAATCAGTCAGTAGGTTAGCGGTGGCAATCAGATGGATTGAGTGTTTCAACACCCCCTGCAAATCAAGATCTAATTGATCACCAGGTTCCAATTTCATTGCACCTCAGTCTGTAGCACTTTGCAAACAAATGGGAGATTCACATGTGGAGAGAAATGGGAATATCAGTCATTCTCCTTTCCCTTTTTCTTCTATTTTGAACTGGATTCTAAAAGTCACCCTTTTGTATATTCTTTTTACTTTTCCAGAACCCAGCTAAGAACATAAGTTGTTTTCTCATAAGACTGAACATCTACACAGCCTATGCCAAAGAACCATCTCTCTGTTGACCTTTTTAAGCCCTTGAAGTTTTCAGAACTATTCTGTGTAAAGGTAAATAGTGACCTCTACTGAATAAAACGCTACAGAAACATGACCATCACTTGAGGTATGATTTTTTTAATAATCTGTAAAGGAGCAATATTCCATTAAAGTTTTAAGTTCACATGTAGGTTCTGTTCTCTTTCAAATAGTTGGTCTTCCTGATCTTTAAAAAAATTAATTCTATCTGCTATTTATTCTGAATATGTTTCATGGGTTTCCCACTCAAGGGGCCCTTGATTAAAAATCAACACCTTCATTTCAAACATCTACCTTTGTACTTTCAGTTTGGGGCTCATATATGAAACCACTGCTTGGATTCTGTGCTAAAGATACCTCTATCTATAAATTGCTTGAGTCTCTCAAACTCAGATTCAGCCTTTTTGAGAATCTCCCCAAGACACAAGACATCTATTTGAAGTCTTATAACCTCAAGTACCCCTCCGAATGTGAAGGAAACCCCTCCAGATGCTTTCTTCTACTGTTATAGTGACACAAAAATATTAATTTTGATAATTCAATGCTTTTGTTGAAGAGGCACATTTTTATGCCTTAGTCAGCTTTTGTTGTAGACATTTACTTTTATCCCTGCACCACACAGCAGTTGATCGTTGGCTAAAATCCTGCTCCGGGCAATAGACCTGATTGCAGGTGTGCTTCTCTTCTCCTTCTGAGATCCCAGTTGAAGAAGCAGCCCCTATCTAAGACACCTTGTTGACCTAAGGACAGAGCTATAAAAGGCTGAGGCAAATTATAAAACTATATCTAAAACTTCAGTTCAAATATGTCATCTCATATTCTATTGGCCAAAGCATATGCTAGGAAGAAGCCAAAAGTCAATGTGCTAGGGATAG